TAATAATAATAATAATTTCGAATATTCGTAATAGTAACACTTTCAAATACTTTCAAATTAATACAGATGTTATCTAATATTGTAATTATAATACTAATATATATATATATACTTTATTCTTTTTTATTAATGTAACAACATTTCATGTAATTAAATAAAAATTCCCATTTTTACTGAGCATGCCTGTATGCGTGATAATTGACTATAATGACTATTATGTTTAGACTACTACTCATTTATTTCCATAAATCGTTACATTTAATTATAACGTAAAATTATTACACGGATATTCGAATATATAAAAATTATTTGACATACCAATTTCGAATATGCTAATTAATGTGAATATTCGAATATCATTTATTCATATAAAGACTGATTAAAAATGTACGAGTAGCCTTTAAAGTGACAATTTTTCAGTTTGAGTTTCCTTTTTTTTCGGGTTTAAATTTAATTCACGAATTATAGTGCCGCAATCATCTTCAAGTCATAGTGTTGATAGAGTATATCTTTTCTGATCATTCTATGAGTGTAGCTGTTGATAATTATCGCTCATAAAAAAATCAAAGAATTTATGAAATTAATAATAATGATAATGATAAAATTTCAAATGATTTTTATGATTACTGATTGGGGCCCAATTAAATTAAAATTAGGTGATTAACATAATGCCATTGCAAATTGTATCAGAGCATTCAAATAAAGAGAAACTAAGGGTAGTAAGCAGATTAAGCTTTTTACAATGTGTTGAAATATATGATAAAGATACTAAAAAATCCGCATAATTGTCTTTGCATGAGAATCAATGAATATTTCATTGGGGGATTTACACACATCCCATGAATGCAATAATACTACGAATTAACCAAAAAAGAACTATTATTCCTTGTAGCACAAGTTTGTAATTAATTAAGTACATAAAAAAAATTAACCAAAATCAATCTATTTAAAGTTAAAATAACCTCAAGTTCGTGTTTCCCAAATTTAGTTTAAAAACTGAAATTTATTTCATATGTTGAAAATTTTTTTTTTTCAAAATTTTAGTTAAAAAAAGTCTAAAATCGAAATTTCTTCTATATATTTATATATATATTGAATTTTTTTTTGAAATTTTTCCTTTTTCGCAAAGAAAAAAATGATCCTACAAGCTTTGATTTCGTTCGTTCGGCATGACTGGTATACTGTTTTGATCAGTTTTTTGATTTTCTATACAACAAGATATTACTATAATTATATGACCAGACAATCACCTTTACCAGGTCCATTTCCATTGCCATTTATTGGGAATGTTTTAGAAAGAGATTTAGGTAAATTGGCCAAGAGATGTCAAAAAAATATGGTGATATGTTTGAATTATATATTGGTAATCAACGTACAATATGGTTATGTAGAGCTGATTTAGTTGAGAAAATTCATAGTTCATCAACAAAAAGTAATTTCAAATTACGCAATAAAAACCAACAAGGATTGGAAGAAATGGATTTATCAAATGGTATAACCATGAATAATGATCTAGAATCTTGGTCATTTAATCGTAAATTTTTAATTAACGCAGCTTTGTCACCAAGTTTTTTAAAAAGTTTCACAATTAATTTGGTCAAAGAAAACTATTTTGAGATGAAAAATTATTGGTATAAACTAAATTCAGAATATAAAAAGGTAAACACTGGCAAAGGAAATGGTGGTGATGATGATTATATTATAGATATATCTTCTTGGCGTTCCATTCTTGCAATTAGCTCTTTATATTTTTTTAATTTTTGTTTATTTAATTTCTTATGATAAAA